GGGGACAGGTGCAGAGTAAGAACAGAGCACTATTTCCTAGGGATGTAATACTGCACAATTGCTGATTTAGCCTTTCTTCTATCTCTTATTTTCTCCCTCTCTGATGTCTATTTTTATTCAGTAATTTTGTTTGCTTAGATTGTTTGGGGGTTTTTTTTAAATGAAGGGGGAAAATAACATTTCTGTCCTGGGTATCTTCCCATGTACTGTTAAAAGGGAGGCCTTGGGTGGGAAACAGATAATGTTCTTTTTAGGAAGGTGATATCTAGCAACAGCCCAAAATATTTTAGCAACAGTACAGAAGGGATTATATTCAGGAGTGTCATTAACTTAGCTCCCACTGGGTCCGCATCACATGACAAAATTGGTCACTGATTTGTTCATTGTTTTTTGTTAGAGGAACATTTACCCATGTCTATATGGTAAAATTGCAGTCCCTAGGAGCATGTTCTAATACTAAACCAGAAGCCATGTAATCACACTGGCACAGCTTATTTCACACAGCTGAGTCAAAGTTGCAATTAGCTTGCCCTGTTGCAAATTAGCCCACCTGCTGCACTGCATGGACACGGCTACTCTGTTTCCAAGGGGCAGCACTCATGGAACAGCGCAGCCTGTCTGAAAGCACCACTTCGGGGAGAGTAAGTTTGCCAAGCAGGTACAACTAGGAATGTAAATCAGCTCAGCTTTCTGTCAACTGGAGCAGCAAGATGTGAACAGGACTTTATTCAGGCTTTCTGTATCTGACACATCCTCTTCCATACCATCAGCACCTCTGGGACCCTGCTCCAATCGAGCTGGAGTGATACCCTGCTATTTGTCCATATGCAGGGGTGAGCTGGTTGCTGTTGGGTCTGATCCCCAAGTTGAGAACCTATTTTTTATGTCAGTAGTGCACCGTAGCTCCCATTTCGAGTGGCGTGGTAATTCACGCTCAGTAATGAGATCCGTAAAGACGCATCTCTGTCCCACAGAGTACTGAAAGCCTTGCATAGGCCAGCCAGACTGAGATATGGAATACAATGTATACTAATGCAAAATGTGAGAGAATGATTCATTGTAGGAAATTTGAAACGTGTGATTCATCCCTTGAACATTAATAACATTTGCAATAACCTCAATTTACTGATTTTGCATTTCCGTTTTCTAAAGCCTGGTAAGCACAAATGTGAGCGTGTGTGGGACAGAGGTACGCATCATCTGTCGGAGGGAATAGCTGAGTAGTTCTGCATGGAGAGGAGCCAGTCTCATACCTTGAAGCCATTTTCATTTACATTGTAGAAACCTATCAGAATAAGCAAACGTATATCTCCGTGTACCTGCTATGAGGACAGCGAGCTTGTAACAATTTAAGGGCTAGATTCCCGCAGCAGATCTACAGCCCTATAAGCACAATAGACAATGAGGATATCTCTTACACATGGACCCCTTCATGGGAAGAAGGGACGAACCAAACCCTCAAAGTTACTTACATGCCTCATTCTCTCTGATTTCAGTCCCAGCTTAGCGTCCATCTTTGCTGAACTGGTCCTCAATGCCTCCTTAGTGGCATTGAAGACCCTCAGTTCTCACCAGCATCAATGCAAAGGCAAGTATAAGTAGGCAGATCTGCTTTTTCCCCCCCTTTCTATTTGAAACTGTTTCAGTGAAGTTAAGATGGAGCTGGAGCAGGGTTTTTTTTTTCTTCCCTGTAAGAAGAGTCATTTGCAAACTACAAAGAAATAATTATCACTGCTGGTTTTGCGGTTCATTTGTTTTCTCCTGTCTTGTCCTTTTTCAAAAGGCAAAGAAAAAAGTGTTGTTGATGCTGCAGAGCACACTCCATTCCATATATTAAAAAGCCAATGCAAAGAGAGACTTAAACCCTGGCATTTAGCCTCTCTGATCATAGAATGCAAGAATGGATTCAAACTTTGGCATCAAGCTGACTTGAGCTATAAGCATCACAGCCGACTTCAGCTCTGAATGAAAGCCCATAATCAAGGAAATGGTCAGGGATTGGTTCAGAGACAGGCACAACTGAGATCCAGAAAATTATAAAACACCACAGACATATTCTATTTTAAATGTCAGGCCAATGTTTACAGGTCACAAAAGCCAATTTTTGTTCTCTCTCAGCTCCTTGAAATATTTTATATGGCATAACACTTGCCTCACAAGATCGCCTCAGTTTCTTGGGTGCTAATGGGTATTGTCTACTGGCCAGCTGCTAACTAACTTAAGAGAACGATTTAGATTAAACAGATATCAGTTCCACAGTAATTCATTTCCTACAGTACAAAAAAGTAATTATTCAAGGATAAAACCTCTTTTAAGGACATCCTCCCGGTTTATTGGAATAATACCAGGTTGCATTTTTCCACATGAAAGAAGATGCAAGCTGCTCCTATGTCCACATTGTTCTATTTGTGCTTCTTAAGTGGTGGCTTGCACTCATTCATATAACAACATCTGTGAGAATGAATAACTGTGAGAATCTGTAGAACACTTCTATTTCATGACATAAAGGGCCATTTCATGGAGGAAGATTTATTTTATTGGACAACTGATGAAAACATTTTAGAGTGAACTAGTTGTCCAAATAACGTTGTTGTCTAATGCTGCCCTAAGGTGTTGTTTATATCCATTTTCCACCTTAGCTCTGGTGATGAACCAAATTCAGTGCGAGTTGCTTCTATTTGCACTACAGCTGAAATGCCCCAAGATATATAGTCATTTCTTCCCGCTGAATTTCAGTAAATTCTCTGCTTTTACAGCCATCACCAGCATAGTGCCTAAATTCCTTTATTTATTAACACCATTCGTTGCATAAATATCAGGATAGTCATACATAAACAATGCAAATGCCATGCGGTATCAATGGAAACAAGTGCAGAAGGGCACTAGCATCACCATTGTACAGTTGATCTGAGCCAGTGATTGATTGCATGACTTGTCTCAGCTCAAAGGAATGAAACCTTATTCCTCTTAGTCTTAGTCTGGTGCACCGGTGCTCACAGTTTTGCCCTGAAGCCTGGATGAATGGCATGGGGCCATCCTGCATGCCATTATCTGACCAATGTCCAATGTGGACATTATTTGACATGTGGGTTGGGGACTGAGCATTAATCACAAACTGATCCTTGTTCTCTATATACCCATCCTACTTACTTCTCTATGGTCCACCAGGAGCAGATGTTCTACAACAATATCTGCTTTTAGACCATTACAAGGTCTTTTCAGCCTTGATTCTCTTTACTGTCTACTTTCCAGTGAGGGTTGGTAATGATCATGGTAATGTTTTCATCCCCAAAGTTAAAGGTAGGGATTTGCTACTGGGCAGGACTAAATAGCTCAGGGAGTTAGATAAGACTTGATTTGCAACAGGGTATATAGTTTTTCATTTGCAAGTCAAAGTTCAACCAGAACTGAGTGAGAAATGTTACCCTGTGATGGATGCCGGATATAACAAATATTCTGTCAGCCCTAAATCCAGTGCACAAGTATCCACATGATCCAAACTGTTAAACATGTGACAGATTTAGCCAAGAGAAGTGGGCTGTGGCTACTGAGCTGTTATTTCACCCTTAGCAATTGCTCCTTCAGGAAAGGCTTGAAGCATGTGGGAGAGGGCGATTTTGCATTACACTACTAGTACCTATTTCCAGGGTGATGAACAAGATGCTATGCTGAGTGTTACTATTTTGGAAACCTGTAGCGGTTCTTTCTAGTGTTTTAGCTGTTGTGAAATAGAAGTACAAAAAATGTCAGGAACTGTTCATCCTCAGTGGAGTGAATGAGACATTGATTATTCTGCTTCTCTCAGAATAACTGAGAAAAATCCTGCTTTCGGTAACTGCAGTCACGCAATGCAGGTGGTGTTAGTGGGCACATACAGATGTGCATCCAAATCAGAACTGTGCCTACTGGTTGCACTTTCAAAAGTGCCCACATGATTTAATCACATAAGAAAGGTGCTGGCCAGAAACCAAAATTGGGTGGTATTGGCAGTTTTTTTGTATGGTGCTGGCATTTATTTTTCACTCTGAATTGGAACAAAACTGAGACCTCCAGAAATATGTTGGTGAAAAATACAAAAGAGAGAAGAGAAAAACACAAATTAGATCCCTACTGCAGAACAGCGGGTGGGATCCTTGTTAGGGCACTCACATGGGAGGCACAGGTTCAAGCTTCTGATCCAGTTTAAGTAAGGAATGGACTTGAATTTGAGTCTTCCACATTCCCTGTGTATAGCTGAAACCCCTCACTATTAGCTATTCTGTTGAAGCTGCTCTCCCTCTGACTTTGGAAACTCCATCTTGTACCTTAGAAGCCAGGCCAATACACGTCTGTAAAACACTTTGGTTTTGAAAAAAATGCATTTTTGACAGAATAATCTTTTCAGACAAATATTTGCAATCAGTTCTTCTTCGGTATGCGTGTTCCTCTGACTTATAGTGGAAATTCTGCTCCAAAGTCATTAAGACACCATGAAAATCCTATACACTGTCTCCAAATATTGTCTGTCCGAATTAATGTTCATCAGACCCACAATCATACATTCATACATTGACAATACCTCCAGACCACAGTACTCTACTAAGAATGAGAAGGAATTGCACCATGAAACAGGAAGACACTAGCTAGTGTGATATACTGTACCAAACCGTCGATGCAGTTGAGCTTAAAGTGAAACATAATTTGCATTGTACTCAGTTTCAGAGAAAGACGGTGGAAGGGGAGGGGGGAAATGGTCCTGGTTACTGTTCACCTTCTGACATCAGAAACCTCCGATGCAGCATGCGAGATTGCCGTCATGAAATCCCTGATCAAGAATATGAAGCGTCTTCCCCTCTTCGCAGCTGCGTCCTGCCTCACGCCCCCAGGTCCATTTTTCTTCGTACGACGAATGATGAAGCTTTTTTTCCAGATCACATGAGCCAGGATGAAGGGGGAAAATCCTGCTAGGAACCAAGATGGGCTACAAGTTTGAATCTGATCAAGGGGAGATACGGATTGATACACTGAAGACTATATAAGAATGTGCTCACCACAAGAGCAAACATTTTTCCAGGTGAATGACTCTCATGAAGCAGCCATAAAGATGACTGAAGACTCTGTTTCAAGGAGACCTGTGGCCACTAACAAATCATATTTCTATTTCACCACTGCTTTCCTCTCTGTCTGCCTCGTGTTTGCCCTAGCAACCATCATGATCTTAATCGTTCAGAAGACGGTAAGCAATTTCCACCTTTTCTCCTTGGTTTCTTTTTCCTTCTGCTGTCAAAAGGAAGTTTCTTGTAATCAAAAAAAATCAGTCTCTTTTCTCCTAAAATCATATGAATTAGGTAGAGAAGGGGTGGGAAATGAGGGAGATAGAAACAAGCTGGATGGAACCTTTTTTCCTCCAGGTACTAAATTAATTTCTTATGCACCATTAATTCTATACAAGAAAGACAGAAACATTTCATGCTCTGGGGTCTAAGTTAGCAACTGAGCATCAGGGACAAGAAGACTAAAACTCTTATGGGGGCAGGATATAACATTACTAACTACTTTAGAGTTTCTTGAACTTCTTGCTGAAAACTCTGGAGCTGCCCACTAGAAGGAACAGGATACAGAAGTAGATAGATGATGAGACTGATCCAGCCCACCAATTCCTATCTTCCTGTGGTAGTTAATTGATTGATATGGTGCACAGCACCTCAGTGTCTATGACACCAAATATCTATATGAAATAGTAATTTACAGGAAAAAATAGAGGAGCAAAAGCCCTTGATGGTCATTTCTTGAAAGCATTCAGACTTCAAAATCAGTGAAAGAGATATAAAAAGATCTGGTAAGAAGCTGAAGGTGGAGAACAGATATTTTCTTCAGACTATGTTTGAAAGGAAATGGAAAGTCTGCTGAGGTTCAGGGATGCACAGAGGTCGTTGTAAGCTAGCAAGGGTGGCAGAAGGGAACATGCTTGAAGTCATAGTGCCAAGGCTGTGGGGAAGAACAGGAGTTCAGTTCGAAATGAGGATAGGGAGCAGTGAATGTAAGGCAGGCTAAAGGCAAGACTGTGCAAGCTTTTTAAAATAAGAGGACAGCTCTGAGCTGGGAAGAATGAGGAGCCAATGCATTTTTTGCAGGAGAGACAGCAAGTGGCCATCTTTCTTGGTTGAGTTGATTAACAACAGCGGACAAAATCCTGGCCCTGTTGAAGTCAGTGAACATTTTGCCATGAATTGAAATAGTCTTAAGAGTTGTATAGTAAATCCAAGCTCTGGCGGGCCTATCAATATGACTTTTAGACAGAATATATTTTGGGGGGAAAAAAAACAGCTTAAGGTCTTGGTACATAAAAGAAAGTTGACCTGAAAAACAATGCCCTTCAGCAACTTGCTTTTCTTGATTTATTAAATCTAGTATGTGTGTAAATGTGTGCATGAGAGAGGGAGAAAAATTACCTACGCATTTGTGAGTAAAGATACCTCTGAGGCCTGATTTGTCTCCCCATTATATCAATGTGATTAAGGAGCCTCTTAATTGAAATCAGTGCTGTTACACCAAAGTAAAACATGAATGTATTCTTGAATTCATGTATCAGAATGAGATGCAGGTATTTTATTATGATAATCAGATAGTGGTACATTAAAGCAGAGCCTTCAAATAATGGACCAGTTAATTACTAAATTACTGCAGATATTTTACACAAAGCAGATTTCATTAGTTCTTATTAATACTAAATTTAACACTAAATTAGCTCTCCAACAGGATAAATGCTATTCCCCTAAATGCAGAGGAATGATAATATTGAAGAATTAAGGATCTTCATTTCATAAAGGAACTCACCACAACAATTTTGCAAATAGGTTTGGAGAAGGAAAAATCAGGTCATCCAAGTGTGTGATGTAGTGATTTATAAAATAATGTTTTATTTGCAAGGGGAATTTGGAAGTAAGGAGCATTATTTTCTGGTCTTGCTTTCCATGACCTGAAAAGTCCACAATCCTGTTGCATTTCCTTCAGTCTCTATCCTTGAGGAACTACCTCTTCAAGCCCAGATAATGGATGATGACACTTTATGAGAAGTTCCTCAATGGGATGTAGTGTGCATTTGTAACACACACCTTCCTTCGTGCTCAAGCAGTCAGTGTGAGAGGTGGCAGAAACTCCTTCGATAGCTATATTTGTTTCTGAGGTTGGGTGTCTTCTGGTCTGCGTACAGTCTTGGTCTACTGTACATGGTACCTCCACAATACAGGTGTTAGTTGGAAGGTCTCATCACGAGAGATACATAGTTAGCTCTTTGGGTTTACTTCTATGAGAAAATGCAGACTCCCCAGCTACCCTAAAGTGACCTTACCTCTCAGGAGGGGAGCAGAATCTTGTATCATCAGACTGATGGGATATTTAGATTTTTTTGTCTCAAGTTTTTTTCAGTTGCAAAACCACCTCATTGATGAATTCCCACTCACTTAGTTTAGGCATATGCACCTGACACAGGACTATGCAGGGAGAAATTCAATAAATACTAGAGGAGGAGCTCTCAAATCATGGATTACACCACGTAAAAGACCAAAAATCCCCAACAATTCCAACTCATCTAAATCCAGTACAAACGTTATTAAATAATATTAATCTTGGTGCCTTTTAGAACACATCAAAATTGTGTAACACCCACTTCTTCAGAAAAGTGGCTTATAAAAACTTCCTGTTCAGGAAGCACAGAATCCTTGGAATCACGTCTGGAAATAGTCCACTCACTTCTTCATCATCCAGAAAAACAGATCAACTGGAAATGCAGCACCTATAGATCTTTCAAATAAGGTCTTGTTTTTCATAAAAGTGAATGAGTTCATTAGAGGGGATTCTTCCTTTTTTTTGTTTCTGCTACAAAAAACTCCTGCCTCCCTGGCACTTCCAGTGCTGTTGTAGCCATGTACTCAGAGAAACCTGTTGGGTCAGAAATATACACTAATTATTGTGGAGCTTCTGCTTTCAGTTAAACCATTCTACTAAAATGTTTCAGCAAATATGGTAAATTAGATAACTGTTTGTTGAGAGCCACCCCTAGAGTATACTCTATCAATAACTAGAGCTATACCTTGTTGCCTGACTCAGTTGGTTGATCACTCTCAGTTTCAGAGGGTTTCGAAATGCTCGTGTTTTCAACCTGACAACCCCTTTATCAAAGCTCTCCAGACCTGGTACCTGGTGATGTGAAGGATTATATGTGCATGTGCAATACTTACATTAAACGATCTAGTTTTCAAACCTGCTTTGTTTAAAGTTCTAAAATAGCTTCATCAGCCGGAATTAAGCCTGGGTCAGCAACGAACAAAAAATCACTTTTTCTTTTTCTACACCAAGAATGTCCCAAATTGTATTAATTAGCACCCCCTGGTGGGCAATCTTGAAAAAGACAGAGAGAGAAAGAGCGAAAACACTGGGCGGTCATGGAAAATGAAGCAGAAGACAGAGTTGCGTTTAGAAACGACCTTTTGTCATGTTAACCTGAAGTGAAGTAGAAGGCCAAGTAGATTTGCACCTTATAGGCTAACCAAAGTAAGTAGATATAAATATGTAAATATGTATGCATGCATGTATGTATGTATGTATAGCGCAAGCTTTCCTGGGCTGAAGCTCACTGCATCAGATGCTGTGGAAGGACATGCGCACCGCAGCGTATAAGGAGAGAGAAATTTAGTGTATAAGGTGAAAATCTACGCTGCTTTTTTCCTGTATGCAAATTAACACCACAATCTACCTCTCTCTGCTCATGGAAAACATGCCATTTTCTTTATATCTAGAACGAAACCCTGCCATACAGAATGGAGGTATCATAAGGCTCAGCATGGGAAGACCATGCTGCTGCAATCTATACTGTAACTCTTCTGTATATACGTAGAGTCCTTCACTGCTCAAGGCTGTCAGTCCGTTCCCTTTCACCCCCACCAAAGTCATGTATTAGTATTTACTCTGGAATTGTTAATGATACCTCTTATCAGACACAGTATGAGGACTGAGAATATCATTCATTCTCAGCTCTGCCTCCAAATACCCATGTGATTTTGGACCACTTATTTAAGCTGTCTCTGCTTTAGTTTCCATATCTATAAAATAAGAATAACCATTTTAAATATTGAACTCTCTTTGTGATCTGTGGTTGAACAAAATAAAGCACTGTTATAATGTAACTATGACAATCACTTTGCAGCCTCCAGTGTAACAAATATAATAGGATTAAAAATTAAATGAATAGCTTAGTATGGGCCTTTATGACGTTTATCTTTCTTAAATTTTTTTAAGTTAAATAATAATTTGACTGGCTTAACATTCTTGTATCTGTAAAGAACAGAAATGTAGGGGACAACTGCTGTTTTCATGATTGTTTGGATTAGAGTGAAATCGTGGCCTCCTTAAAATGAATGGTAAAACATCCATTAACCTTATTAATGCCAGATTTTGCCCCTTAATTTGCAGATAAATTGAGTAGGCACAAATTTGGCTTAAGTGAATAAGAGGATCAGATGCTCGGGCTCTCAGGACTCCAGACCTAATGATGCTGCCCCAATGATTTTTTCCATGGGGCATTGTTTTCTAAGTGTTTTTAGATGGCTTCCATAAGAAAAATCACACGTGTCAAAAACGTTTGTGAAAAGAGACCTTCAGTTCTCAGGAGCATTAGCCTGTATCCTTGTTTCTGACACTTAAAGTGAGGAATTTCAATAGCCGTGAAGGTCTGGCTTGCCTGAAAAATCCCACGGACTTCATGCTGACTTCAGTGTAGCCAGAAATTTGACTTTATATCGAGTAAAAACCAGCAAATACACATGCATATCTGAATGTTCATCCAAAAACTGTATTCAAACCATTTGGGTTTCACAACCTGGACTGGATGGTTTATAACAACATAAGAGCTGGACCTAGTAGGGAATATGTATTTTGGTGTTGCAGATTCTGGTTGAACCCCCCAAAAGCATTGAGGTAGACTTCAGAGCAGGCATAACAACAGTACACTGAAGTCAGTGGAGTGACACCTTTTTACAAGAGCCTCGAGTTTGACCTTGCATTCAAGCTTTCTAATGACATATCAAAGTATGTTTCCCTTTTTTGAATGCATATTTTACTAGGGCAGTATCTATCATAACAATAATCTGCATACCTCACTGTTTTGTGCTGCATGATTGCTAAATTCTTATGGGCATTATTTCTTCCCAATCAGGGGATACATGACCTTCGCAGGTTCTCTCACAGGGAAGGGGGAGTGCAAGAGACATTTATTAAGATGACTTTGATTAGACAACAGATGAGGCACCAGATTGATTTAATTTGAGAAGATTTTTGAGAAGCATTAAAAAGATGGCTTTCAATGACACCTGATTATCATTTTCTCTAATGAAGCAAACTCAAATTATCCTGCTTGCTGAGTAATGATTGAGATCATTCATCATCCACACCCAGAGCTGTTACAGACAGGCTAAAATTCATTTATAATGAGATTTTCCCCAAGCTTGTACTGTACAATTTAATCTCTTTTTGCTCCTAGAGGGTAACTCTTTACATTTCAAATTATAGCATTAAACTGAATCCTTCTTGCTATGGGAAAGGAAAATAACAGCAACAAGAGCAATGTTTAGAAGCAAACACTAAAGTTTTATTGGGATGTCTACTCAATTGATGCTGAAATAAAATGCATTAGTATCTGTTATTTTCATTTATTTGAAGACTTCCCAGGAGGAAATGTGATACATTAGTACATTTTAATTTCTTTCAAATCACCCCGATTGCATGGCAGGCAATGAGATGTCAGAATTCTTTTCCCTAACCTCCATCTCAGAGGAAAGTTTGAAAGGTGAATATTTCACACTAATGCTTATGTCTCCTTATGTCTCAATCGCTTTGAAAAGCACTCCCTTATAGGCAGGAGTGGACCCATTTCCCATTTCATTTTGCAGAATATAACTGCAGATCAAAGGTTTCCTTTTTCATGTGACCAAATTCAACAACTTTTACGTGGCCTGGTGTTTAGAAGACTGACACTTAAATCCCAGCCCAAAGATAGGGAGTCTGTACAATCTTTACAAAAATAATCTATCTATGCAGTCTCAGCTCTGCCACTGTAAAAGAAGGATGACTTACCCTATGTTTTTCAGGGATGTTGTGAAGATACAGACCGTTAATCAGACATTACATAACATGAACTACATAAGAAACTAGATAGATTTCTACCTGCGTGGCACTAACATCTACCATTTGTGTTGTGTCTCAGTTGAGAGCAGCAGCAGGTGGAAATGAGTATTTCAGTTTTCCAGGTTATCATGAATGACGAGTCACTGTCAGAAATTTTGGACGCTTTCAAGCTATGTAATCCCTTTAGTCTTGAGTCTTGTAAACTGGACCTGGTACAGTGTCAAGGGTGATGTCTGCACTGGACAGCTAGCATGAATGATCGGCACCCAAATTTAAGCAACCTGGAAATGACAGTCCATGCTGCAAACCTGCACCCACATTTCTGTGTCCTCATGGTTTCTGCACTTGTCTGTGTTTGTCTGGAGGCACCGCTCATGGCTCTGTATATTGAGATGCTCTAGAGTTCTTTCTCCGGTAAACCACATCTATTATAGGAACCATTGAATAAATGGAAGTAGCATGCAGGAGATTTGCCCTGGAAATGAATGTGTTCTAGTCTAAGATAAAGCACAGCTCCAGTTATAACCCCTACCCAAATCAGCACATATTTGAGGGTGTGTGTCTGTGTGTTGATGGGGGGGAAAACACACACATGGGAACACAGGCAAGGACTGCGGACTGGAATAGGTTTCCTTGTGCATTATCAGTACTTCCTCCTCCTGCTAAAAGATAAGAACAGAGGGAAGAACCTCTCTCATGGGGATGTTTTTTGCCACTGCTTCCTGTCCCAGGGAGAAGTAAGAGGAGAAAGGTGGGGAAAGGGAAAACATATGTTTCCATTTGACACTTGCAATGGTATAGTTACAAGGAGCTGAGATTTTTATTTTCATCCATCCCACTCAAGCCAAAGGGAGCAGGATTTGGCACTGGCAGGGTTCCCTACTTCAAGAGGCACATTGTTATCTTCTATTCTGTGCTTCACAAACTTTGAAAAGTGAGGGTGAAATCCCATCCCATACAGAAACCTAGCAAGGAGCCTACACACTACTTAAGACCCAGTTTGGCTCAAAGGGGGCACTGCAGGACTCCAGTGCTTCAGAAGGCCTTGAAAAAAAATTCTTAACAAGGTTCAAGTTCACCCTTGAGAAATGGAATATGATTAGAGGATAACTTGAAACTCATTCATGCCTTAAACACAAACACTCTTAGATACCAGAATAAACATATGTCCCTTTCTTTTCTTTCAGGGGCCTACTCCTGAAAAGCCAGGCAATACACTTCATTTTGTGGGAGGTAAGACAATACATGTAAATGACAATAAATGCATTTTGTCTGGCTTAGAATACAAATGATATCCAACATGGGAAAAAAACTAATTGTGCAAATCTTAACATTTTACCCAAGCTCTCCTCTTGACGGAAAAGCCAAGCCAGTGGAAAAAAAACTTGCAAATTACTTTGTACTGCCGGAAACCAATGCCTGACTGAGGAAATAACAAGCATTTCTGAATTTACCCCAATGTGTCATTGAACTAAAGTGTTTTTACCAAACAATATGAACATTAATCTGATTATAAAGGTGTTATTATAATGGCTCACTCCTGTACACTGAGGAGCATTGGATTTCATCTGGTCTAGGAATGGGCTCACATTCATTACTGCTTATTTCAAAACCACCTGGGGCTCAATTACCTGCCCTATATTCAAATAGTGTTTGAGTCACATTTTTATTAGTGGCTGTGAGAAAGTGGGAGAAAAGAAAAAACAGGTAGAATAAAATGAGAACTAGAGAGAGACAAAGGATACACAGGGTGAGCAGAATTGGAAGAAAAAATATTTTCTATTGCCTATAGTATTTCAAGGGTCTGCTCTGACTTATGCCGCTATAAATCTGGAGTAACTAGTGATTTCGTTGCTATCATCTATCTTTCTTTAAGATCCCTAGCATAGTGTATTTTAGCAGGTCACAAACATTTCCAAATTACATTCACTGCTGCTTCAGAAGGAAGGGAAGTGTTAATACCCATTTTACAGATGGGAAACCAAAGTACAGAGATTTATAGACATTTGCACAAAACCTGTGACAAATTCAAGAGTTTAATGAAGAGCTCCTGAGCACTTCTACAGTACCTTAATCACCAGACCAGCCCTCATCCTACTCAACATTTCCATACAAGAAATGGGGCAGTATTTGGTCAAATATATATTTTATCTAATAAACTCATGTGTCCCAAAATTTCCTTGGGAACAACCTTTCCATCCAGTATGTATAAGCCAGTCTTTGTAGCATCATAGATATATCTCACAGATTGTTCTTGTTTTAAAACTCAACCCGTCTTCCCCTAGAAATAAACGATTATTTTAATGTACCAAGTTTGGGTAAAAGGAAAGATAATTAATTTGGGTTTAAAATCTGATTTTAATGCGCTAGGGAAAATTCAGAAGATGTCTTTAGCTGAATTATGCTAATATGACTGAGATTGATAAACATCACAAAATAAGATTTATAATCTCCTCTCCTCTCCTCTCCTTCCTGCCAACCAAAAAAAGCTTGTAAATCTTACTTCTCTGTAATTGGATCACTTCTAATCTCTACACACTATTCTCAAGAAGAAGAAAAGCAGGAAATAACTGAGTGAATATATGTACTGAAAGGGACTTTCTGGAGGCTAGAGCTCCAGCTGCTGTGAATATAGCCCCACTGAAGTTACTGGACTTAGGTTGATTTTCAGCAGCTGAGTTTTATACTTAATTAGCAAGAAACAAATGGAATCGTAATAGTTAATGCTTTCCACTGACAGGAACCAATGAAAAGCAGGTGCAAAGACAGAGCAAGTCAATTGATATTTGAAGCCAGAGGTAATGACACAATAATTCTCTATGGCACAGGGGAGATTTAGCACTAATTGCAAACTTTTTTCATACCAACCACTTTATGCCAATTGTCATTTCTTATCCTGAATAACCTGGGTTTCCTCAGCATTAGTTTACAGGATATCATAGCATTAGATAAAACCCTTTGTGTCTCTTGGCCAATTAGAGTCACATGCTCTCCCAGCAATCTGCTGGTAAATCTTAAATACCATGATCAGAAAGAAGAAGTGAAGGGTAGCAGGTTAGATTGATGATTTAGAAGTAGTTTTAGAAAGCTATTTGTTACTATTAAAAAATGTTGTTACCATTATTAAAGGACTATCTAAGTCATAGAGAATGAGAACATAGTTAAAATGCATGGAATGTCTTACTGCTCAAGAAGACCAGAAAACCAGAAATGGTAGAAAGAGGAAGACCAGATATATTAAAAGACCAGATATGGTAGAAAGCAGAAGAATGGTTCTTTATAGATTTGTCTTCTCCATTTGATGGATATGGTCAATTAAAAATGTAAAGAAAAATTGATGTGTCAAATCAGCACTGGCAGGAACTGAAGAAAGTCTGTAGCATAAAAAATACAGCATAATACCAAATATCTGCGGTGTGTTAGGATCCCATGATAGATATATCACAAGAGCACTGTATGAACTGGAAACTGATTCTTTTACAAAAGCATGGGTCCTTCTCAAAACAACACTGCTGGGCCCTTCAAAAATACTGAGGAAGTTGATAACACTGTTAATTTAGGGATGTTTATTCTAAATTAAACCCACATTAGTAACTGTGTCCCTTTTAAGAGGCTGGATGCTGGAGGGAACTGGTGATAATAATGCTGATGTTGATGGGCCTGATTCTTGTTTGCCCTAAAGCTACTTTATAATATATTGATTCATAGATTGTCCGGACCTCACCAGATCATCGGGTCTAGCCTCTCCCCCAGCACTAAGCAGGAAAGACAATTGGGGTCAGGTGACCCCCAGCTAGGTGACCATCCAGTCATCTCAATGATGTTTTTAAGTGCCAGTGATTTATTTTTTCTCAAAAGTTAAAGCTCCTCTATATAACTAGAGTAGTGCAAATTGGCAGCATAATATATGATAGTATGTATTTTGTGTATACAAAAATACCTTATGCAGTTCACATACAGAGTAACAGCATCAAAGTTGTAAAGTAAAAAAAAAAAAATCAAACATTAGAAGCATCAGATGTGTATTTCCCCGTGCAGCCAGAATTCTGTCCTTTTGTGTTTGTGTCTTACGCATCGAGGAAAGAGGATATAGTGGAAAAAATGACAGATGATCATGCAAATAAAGGGTATATCATATGTGAATACACAACAGGTATAGCTACTTTTCTAAGTCAATCCAGTAGCGTTAAACATGTACAATCAAATTTCACCTCACATTTCATTTAGGTTCCATATGCTGTTGTCTATCACTAACTAAATACCAATAGGTACTTAAAAGCCATTTATGGAGGTGAATATATTCCTTACTTAACTGTCAATCCTCAATGGATAAGTTTGAATCCATCTGCAGACATTGACTTGAGAAAGATGCATTGCCAGCTAATTAAATGCTTATCTGAAAAAGTGCCACCAATTATATTGAAATCTCTTTATACTAGTTAGTAGAAAGGCACAAGCAACAGAGGGAAAAAATCTTATTAAATAATCATTCATGAAATGCGGTCTTTATATTTGTAGAATCCGTTTCACATTTAGGATGCATTTTCTATGTTCATTCATGCTGTTCTGCAAAATAACTTCCTGCTTAGCAACTAGGGGCTTTTGGTGTTCAGCTCTCAATGCCTCCCCGACACACATGCCCCTCTTTAGAGCTCCCTCTGAGGTCTATGTCCCCTTCTTGCTGTCTTTTGTTATTCCCTGGGTCTGAAGACATGGCACCAAACTCTGCTCTCATTTACACAAGATTAAACCTGGAAATATATTCCTGTTTCTCTGAATGTGAAAAACTGAGCTGCAGTAGCTGTGGAGGACCAGATTTTTAAACATGATTAGTTACCCATCTTATTATTTCAAAGGGTGTAAGATCCCTGAATAAAAATTTGGCCCCGAGTGCTCAGGAACTACATGTCAAATTCTGATTTCCCTTAGACCACAATAAATCAGAATGAAGTCAGTGGAGTAATTCCAGATTTACAGGAATATAGTTGAGAGCATAAAATGGTCTCATGAGCTGGAACCAAGTCTCCTTTATACCAGTGGAGTTATATGCACCAGTTATTCCCATGGTGCATGTAGAAGCCAAATTTAAATTGTAGGGTGGTAGACTCTTTACAGTATCGGACCAGGCCAATAGACATGGATAGTAGTAGAGAGATTGCAGCCCTATAAAGTCTGTGCATTTATATATATACTGTGAAGGAGACAAAATTACATTGCAATGACTTTAGTACTCAGATTGGTGGACAAGTTTGGTATTGCCCTCTAATAGCTTCCCAAATCACAATCAGAGAAATCAATTTATCCACGAACCTCTGTTTTTTTTATTAAAAGAGTCTCAGAACATGGGTTGTGTCACTCAGTTTAAAATTTGGGCAAGTTTAGACTTGCAAATGCTACGAAGAATGTATCAGAAAGCTTTGGTTTCACTTGGCACCAAGCTTACCTTCGTGACCAAAAGTATATGCTTGTTCAGGTAGAAGATGAAGACAGATAAATTCAAACTGGAAATAAAGCACAAGTTTTTCTAAGTGAATGTGATTAATTGTTGGAACAAACTGCTAAAGGAGGTGACAAGGTTCCTTGGGTGAATTTGATATCTTTTATTAGACCAACCCAAATGGTTGGAGAATAGTTATTAAGCAAGCTTTCGGGTTCAAAAACCCTTCGTCAGGCTAAGGAAGCTTCAGCAGGGAGGTGATGCATTCTTCATCTCCATCTCTTCAGATTAAGAGTGAAATCAAGAGTTACAGGGCTCAATAGAAGAATAACTGGCTTAAATGATATGGCCTCTGGTATACAGGAAGTCAGATAGGACAACAGAACGGCCTTTTTTGGATTTTTAAAACCAGTATCATATAAGCTGTTTTTTAAGGAATACAAGGTTTTAAGTGAATGGAGATTCGGAAGACATTTTTTTTCAAACCTAGAAGAGAAGATGAAATAATCAATTGTATTGTTACTATTGTGGGATTAGAGTGTTGTTGCAGCTGATAACATTAAATATTATACTGCATTGGAACTTCCCAATGAAAATATCCAAAACCTTTTTTATCTGTTACTCTCATAGTGCTTTACAAACCCTTTCAGTATATCCTAGTTATGGTTGAAGAAATAAATGCAGAGGGTGCTGAAGTGATTTTTCCAAAGTCACCCTTCGCAGTCAAGAACAGCATGAGTGCCTGGTGCTTCCTGAATCTGGGGGGCACCGGCAGAAGCTGCTGATCCTGTCAGGG